TCAGAGCTATGTAAACATCCAGCTCTCTTTAAAGTAGACAGCCACATAGATCAGGCATTCCTAGAATGGCAATAACCTCAGTTATATTTAAGCATAATGGGTCAGTTTCGTCATTGACAGTCCCACTGATTATTAATTAATTTGCCAAATTTAACAAAAAAGATGAAGATCCATCATGGCAGTCACAGGTGCTTCTACTGACATTGACTGTGGATGTATTTAAGCCATGCCGAGTGCCCGATCCCACGTGTGGCGCTGTCCAAAGACCAGGCAGGAGCTGGAGACAGATCAGTCTCCGTCTCCTGGGAAAAGCTTCTCACTGCGGAGCTTCTCCAAAGCGTCTGGACTGGCTGTCGACACTCCCTGCCTTTAATGTATGATCAAGAAAAGCTTTAACTCATTACTCTCTACAATGCCCCTCCCCATTCTTGTCCTAACTGCTTTCGTATGTTTAATAATACCGACTTCAGATGAATTTGTTCCACTAACACGCATAAGGAGGGGAGGGAAAAAAACCAGTGACAGATCCAAGATAATAATCTTTTTTATTTCGTGCACAAGAATCAACTGTTGGGAAAGATCCATTTCAATTTGAGTTAATCTCCACAAAGGCTACGCACAAAACGAAACCCTTTACAATTTTTTTTCTTCCTCTGGTGATGACTTAAGCTGTGCTCAAGTTTTTTTTCTTTTTTTACAAGAAAGTGTGGTCTGGAAGTTACCCCTGGGAAACACAAATCCAGCGTGAGCCTTACTAAAAAGATGCTGGGTCAAATTCCAGGTGTCGTGTCCTTGAACACCTATTCAGGGCTGGATTCTTGGTTTTAGCCTAAGTTGGTTCCAGGTGTAAACGTGAGTAGCATTCGTAAGTCACCCAAGAACCCCACAAATAAGTACTGCGAGGTGTTGCACAGCGATGCTGACTCACAGCGAGGACGCGTTGGTCAAACACACCGCTGGTGGAAAACCATCAGAGCCGCTCAGGTTAGAAAACCCCACATTACCCTCTTCCTTGTAGGCCCAGCTTCACCCCCCGCCCTCTCCCTCCCTGTGCTGTGATGAAAGTAGAGAGAGCACCTCCACTACTCGCCTCTTTTGTTTATTTACCTTCAGAATTACAGCCTGCTCTTCTTGGACCATGTTCCAATGTGTTTTGTTATGTTTCCCTTCAAATAGAATATCTACGCGTGTGGTCTCTGGCCGTGTTTGGCTAACACACGCACACATACGTGCACACACACTCCCATTCAACTTTCCCCCTGTGCCAGAGGTCCCCTTTGCCCTCCCCCCCTCCTCTAACTAAACATCGCAGGACAGCAAAAGGGAACTTCAAAGTGGCTGGAGGGGGTACTCCTTTTTTCCTGGCACTTGTCATCATCTAAGGGACTGGCTGCTCCCCTTATTACTCTAATTGCTTCCAACTGCTCCTGGAGGCTTTGATGAAGGGCGCCACGGAGCATGCTGGAAGCACCTGTTGTTGCACACAGGAGCACAGGTGGCCCTTATTGGTGGTGGCGTGGTAGCGTGCGGATTGCAATGGGGCTTCCTGCTAAAATCGTGCAGCTCAAATAAAAACATAATCTCAACGTTATCTCAGATTTGGGGATTTATGAAACTGCAGTCATACTAAAAAATGAAAAGTTTTAGCTGGTGGAACTGTGGAAGGGGGGACTGTTGATCGAGAGACATCTCAGCAGCACTCTGGCTCCATCTTGTGGTATCACTGTGCTAGAAGTCCAGAAGCTGTGTTGGAGAAAATTGAAGAAATTTGAGATTGTCAGACAGCAGACATAAAAGTCTTTTGCAGAAAGGTTAAATACATTTGAGATTAATGATAGCTCTCATAGCATCTACACATTTAAGGTTTTCGTTTACGTATCCCCAGAAAAAATTTGCATTACCACTCCATTTCAAATCATCACATTTTCTACTCAACCATCTCCAATGTGCCTAAAAGTGTGAACATATATAATGAGTGCTGCAACATTTCAGCTTCATATATCAAATATCTTTCCGGATTTTTTTCTTTTCTAAAAGGCCATTCCACCTACTTTCAGGCCTTTTTTTTAATGGATTAAAATCAGAAGCAGTCATTGAGCATAAAGACCTCAAAACCTATTAAAGATAAAAGCTAGAATTTTTCACCGCCTTCTTTAACCATCAAAACAAAGCAGGATCTGTAATTTGGGACTGATACATGAAGAAAATCTCAGCGTATTTGGCTGTTAAAACATCAACAAAAAAATCAAGCTCTCCTATAAAGTTCCATATTTGAGCACACGCTAATAACAAATGCACATTGCAAAAGATTAGTATACAGATGTTTTTATCAATACTGCAAACACACTTTATAACATTCTACGTCTTAAAAATGGCATTTGATAAAAAAGCTATGTTGGATTGAGAAAAATAAGTTAAAAACATCAGCAGATAGTCTGCTCTGAACAGAACACAGTTTTGTAATTTACAGATGGTACAGAGATTAGATTAGAAAATGATTTGTCAAATATGTGCATATCTTTCATTTTAAAGGCCTACTCTAGCTACTGTTTCAAGACTTGCTACCCTGGAAGAGTTTTATAATTCAGTTTAATTACAAGACACCAAGTTTAAAATATACTTAGAGTTACTGAAAGCTAAACAATGTAGGATTTTCATATATATTACAATTCTTGTAGCATTCATTCTGGTAGTCAGTACCAGAATACTACCCATGTGACATGAGCTACTAATCCCTTTTTAATTAATCTTAATTGTTTTACTATAAATACTTACGAATGATATTACAATACTTGTTGAGCTTTTCATAACTTAGTGTATTTTAAACTCCAGGGCAAAGTGCATGCTTACAAAGTTATTTTCTCAGTTATAATTAGATTACCATCTGGAAATTCCAGAATGTTCTTGCATTCGGATGAGGCCATTTACTGATATTTTTGTTTTTGTTGTACAATATTGCCATATTGGATCATTACAGCATGAAAGTTGAATGAAAACAGCATTTTTGCAACTAAAAATTTTATGTTAAAAAGTACTCTAAATACTGTGCTTTGCATCACTGTGAAATATGCCTAAATACCAGTCAGACATAGTCACTAGCTGTCTATTGCAGTGTCTACTGCCTTAGATTTCAAAGTGTGTAGATGGACCATTTAAATATAGATAATATTAGATAGCTCAGCAGAAGACCCATGATGATTTTGATTTGTAGAAGCTGTTCCCGAACCATACACAAAGTGCAAAAGCTAATGCAACAAATATATTTTACTGCAAAGAAAAATAAAAACTTGCCCAGTAATCCCATTATTTTTAAGTATTAGCTGTAATCTGGGCTAAAGATAAGACTATGCAAACAAGCGGAAATAAGTAAAAGAAAAACATTTCTTGAGCCTGTTGAGCCACATACCAGCTGAGGCAGGATCTTTTCAAAATGTTCAATGTCTACTTGGTCACAGTCCTCAGATTCGGCTTGTTTCTGTGATCTCACAGCAGCCTCTGAAAAAGGAGATAACAGCTTCAGAGTGTTATCATTAGCCAGTCTGTTATTGTGTCTCAAATGTTGTGCAACTGTGTCAAAGCTCCTTACCTTGCACGAACACTTTAAGCATCTCTACCATGAGCAGTGTGGCATCTCCGCTTACTGCAACACAGTGGCATTTCATCAGCACGGTCACAAAGAGAGCAAGACGTCACTGATAACAGCATAGTTATCCCACTCACGTTTTGTTTTGTCTTCTTTGAAGAAACTAGACAAAAGTTTGCTTACTGTATCCTGTGTGCAGAACAGAGCACATAAAGTGGGAGAGTGTATTAGTCATAAGGTTTTCCACTGAGTAGCTGGCCAAAGAAAGTATTAGTAAAGCACTAACAAAGCAAAACAGACACGATTTAGTAAAAATAACAAATGAACGCAACACAGACGCAACAAAACCTGCCTGCGTATCTACTTTTGAAAACACCCGTATTTGGCTTTCAAGCTAAGTTTGTCCGTCGAATTCCTTCTCGAGTTTTCGCCAACCAAACGTCTTTGGTGAATTTGGCGATTTAAAGGGCTCTCCGCTGTCCGCGCAAAGAACGGAAGTTGTCCTGGAAAGTGTGGTCTTAAAGCAATCGCTAGGACCCAGTCTTTTATTCGGCGTGGTAGTTACAATGTTATTCCCTGCAATATCTGAATATCTTAACAAGATGTAAAGTGTTAGCTGTCGTCTGACAAAACATGTTGTGTTTATATGGTGGGCGTGGAAACACACAAGTCGGCGACAAAGACGTTCGCTTTTTTATTAAAACACGAGGGGGGACAAGCAGGCATAAACACTTAAAAACAAACGGCTGACTGCTCCTACCTTTTTAAAGGAAATTTCTACGTCCTTTTCCGCCATGTTGTTTTTACGCTGTAGAAGAAACTTGGCGCTCTACGTAGCGATTGGCTGTTGACCCGTGACGCAAAACTCATGTAGACGGTACAGTA